CTGAATATTTGCCGAAATTGGATCTCCGTACATCGTCGGACTGTGGTTCATAGTCGTCGGACTCTTCGAAGCACCCCTGAACATAGACGAATACATTTAGTACGCTATACTTAAAGCAGCTAGTGCAAATATTCACAAACACGACATACATAATAATAGTAATTAAGATTATTTCGTAATAAAAAAGAGCAAAAAATCTATTTGAAAAAAGAAAAATACTCACGGTTTGCAGCAACGGTCTTTGAGTGTAAAATAAAAAGCAGGATTTACTTGATTACGCTTATTTTTCACGTGTGAATTGAAGAAGAAGAAGAAAAAACAAACAAAGTGTATTTAGTAAAACCGCTTTTTATAACCGCAAACTCGTATATCCTGCGATTGATTCAATTGCCAATTTATTTTTAGGGTAAAAGGTGTGTGTGTGTGTGTATATATATATATATAAAATTTAGCAATCTATTTAGCCCCGAGTTCGGTTTACCTACCCTTTGTCACCGAAACCACGACTCGTATTCTGACTGACTGACTTGTTAATTGAACCCGAGAGAAAATTGGAAAAAATGTATAAATAGAATGAAAAAAAAAGAATTTAAAAGAATTAAATGAACGTCGGGGCTTTTCGTACTACAAAGCGAGAAATTTTCGAAAATTGCATGCAAGAATTTCAAAAAGAGAGATATAAGAGAGATAGAAAAAAAAACACACACAAGTATTTTATATATATCCAAATTGATGTAAACTCGAAAACATGTATATTTTTTTTATGATATACCTGAGGGAAATTGTTAGTCCTTAAATTTAAGTATTTACCAGTGGTGTGCGATGCGAAGTTCTTTCGACTGAACACATTCATCCATAAGAAAACATCAAAATGCATTAATTAAGAGCAAACGCAGCAAACCGAGTAAACAGCTTTCGGATGGTCGCGTTTCCCTTCAAACATTCTATAAAAGCCGGCTCAACTAAAAATGGTATTTGTATTTTATTTTGTTTGTTTGTTTTTGTTTTGTAATTCTCTATTTTGTATGATCTAATATCGCGTTGGCAGCCGCATTTAATGACGTGCATGGGGACAGGAGAAGTGTTCATTTGAAAAACGAATTTGGAAAACCAAAAAAAAAATTAATAATAATAAATAATAATAAGATGAGAAAAATTTGGAACTTTTTGAAAATTTGAAAGTGTGATTTTGAGAAAAACCCGCGATTGTGTATTTAAACTATATGTGTGTGAGCGAAGTAGATAGAAGAAGATTGGTGAAAAGAGGTAGATAGAAAGATTGATATATAAAAAAAAAAGAGGTGTGCGCGATATGCCTTGAGAAGACACAGACAAGAGTGAGATTTATATAAATATAAGGAAAAAGAGATAGAAATTGTATGTTGAATTTGAGCAACAAAAATGTTGTGAATCCAGACGAGCGGGATAAATCATGCATGGGAATCGGGGGAACGAATTTGCAAGCGTAAGCAGGTCGTAGATAGATAGATGCTAATTCCTACGCGAAGAGGATGAGGATCGAGGAGTTAAGAAGCGCTAAGTTAATAAGACGCAAGTTTTGTTTTTCTTTGGCCTGGGGATAGGTCGGATGGGTGTAATTAGCTACTAGGCGCTATGATTATTCAACCTCCGCGTTAGTCACTTCTTGTTAACTTTCTTTCTTGAGCTGCGGATTTCGGTTACTATTGTTATTAACAAAAGCTGCAAATGATTAAATTATTCCAATTAATAACGAGTCGCTCTAAGTTGAAAGGCTTCCTCGTGTGTATCTATTTCTTAAGGAGTGACTGACGTGGTGGAGGCTTCTTGCAAGCAAAATCGTGCAGGGGTTTGACATTAATCTAGAGAGCTAGAAGAGCTACGTCTACGGCTACAGCTAGTGAAGAGCAGCAGAGCAGAGAGAAGCGGCGTCAGCGTCAGCAGTAAGTAGCACACGGTAGCGGTACGGTACGGCACGGCACGGCGCGACGCGTCTATTGTAGTGCTTACTGTGCGCAGTGGGGTGGAGTGGGTGATGGGGTTGGGTCATATTTCCGTGGCCGGCCACGCGACAAGTGGCGGCGCTTCACGAATTCAGCATCGTCGACCATCCAGAATGACCCAAAGTCGTCCTCGTAGCGCACAAAACACTTGTGGAGTGACAGATTCGTGCGTATTGCATTCTACACACCCAGACCCAAGAAAGAAAAGATCACAATCAAGTCAGGTCAAGGTTAGTTATCGGCGACACCTGGTGCTTATATGTATATATATAATATCTGCTTATATATATAGTAAAGAGAGATAGAAGAGAGAGAGAGAGGTAAAAAGATAGATAGAGAGGTAAAAAAAATAATAATAATAAAAATAGAGATATATATAAAAAAAAGAGATATGCTTATGAATATACCTTCCGAAGTCCTCAGCATCGCCACCAGCGTTTAGTCGGCCAAGCCAGCATCTGCGGCCTGTCATGCGGTTACTGAACCGGCCTCATAACGTACACACCACTCGCATTCATCCTTACCAACCAACCACACAAGCCACACACAAGTGTTAATATAAATAAATAAAGTACGACCGTAAATTTAGAACACTCTGTACATATGCATCATCCGGGTGTTCTATAAACACGGCCGCACACCAAATACACGTATATCCATATACATATATATATATATAACAAAGAAGTAAATGATAATCATTTCAGGATATAATATATATACATATATACAGTTTTATATATATATGCATGTATATCTAATTATGTATATATATATATATAAAGATGTGTAGAATAGAGATTAGAAAAAGATGTAAAAATCACAAAACACACAATAAAAATGTACAAATATGGATAAAAAAAAGTATTCATATAATGGCGGGCCTCGAAGACGTACCCGACGACTGGCTGGGCCAAAGGACCCGAGGAGCACCTCTGGGGCCGCCTCTTGTAGAACTCCACTTCGTCGACGGTCCAGACAGCACCCTTAACGTTCTCCACGCGCATGAAACATTTATGTAGAGACAGGTTGTGGCGCACTGCGTTCTATCAACAAAATAGCGCCAAATGAACAAAATGCGGCCCTTGGTGGCATCGTATGCAGGAGGATGGTTTTGTGTGTTGTTTATGTCTTGTACGATCATGCTCTCAGCAATGATTGCTCCGCTACGGGAAATGGAACGGACCCTTCGGAGCCCTACCATTCGCACCCCGAGCGAGTACTCCCCCGCATCATCATCCATGAACACCCCCCATTTATATCCACCGCCGAAGCCGATTGAGAATACAAGCCGATCAAAACAAATCAATTCATCGGGGGGGATGGATACAAATGCGTCCGTGTCCATGTTTGATGCACGGTCAGAAGATCAAAAATTGCCGAGGCATTACTCACAAATTATATACACATCATTAATGAAAAGAAAAACATGAAAGTCAAATAAATCAAAGTCATTAAATTATAAAAAAAAAAATAATTAAAATAAGTAGAACAAGTAAAAAACGACTAACTCATGCAAGCTAGAAGCGTTATGAATATAAAATCATTATGTATATATATATAGAGAGATTTGTTTAGAAATAAACTGTCGCTTGGAGATACAGTAACGGATGAATTCCCTGTATAAAAAGAGTTGTGGCACACAGTTAAATTAAATGGTGAGAATACTTTACCAACGCTAATTGGGGGTGGGAGGGCGAACTCACACAAACAGCATTTTTGTAAAATATTAACAAGAGTTATTAGTAAATAAACTCGTAGGCACCAGATGCTAGCGACATAAGCTATCGTCCCCAAAAAAACAAACAACAATAGGTTTGTCCTCGTCCTAAATCGCTTTTGGATTTGATTTAAATTGATTTTTTTTTTCTTCAGGAAATTATCCTGAATCCGATGACTTGACATTTTACTTTTATTGATCGGGACTGAATGTAAATTGGATTTTACGCATGTACAGAACATCGATGGCAATTCAATAAATCACATCACGTTTTTCTAAACTAAACTTCTCAATTGCTATTTATTACTAAGAACATGTAGATACTTAAATGAGTTTATTTTTATAAGTGTATTCAATCAAATACTAAATAATAATAAATTTTTCTTAAGATGTATTAACGAATGTTGTGCTTTACATTATGTTTTCTAAATGAATAGAATTTATTATTAATAATTAATATTGAGGTTGAAGTTGTATTTTGAATTGATGTTTGCGATGGATATATTGTCGATGTTCGGTACATTTGATGTATGGAGAGTCACAGAGAGGGGTTGAAAGAGATATAGCGAGGGGGTGGCAAGAGACAATTGGAAATGTTACAATACCTTCCACGTGGCGGCGTTCCGTCTAAAATAGCAAAACGTGTTTTGAAACCAATTATAGATTTCATTTAGTGTCAGCTGCTTGTCCGGCGATTCGATTATAGACTGCGAACAAAACAAATAAAAATAGTAAAAATTAATGAAACGAAAAGGGGTTGAAAAAGTAGAACGCGATAGCGGGTGGTCGATGGCGATCGTTGTGTAAAATAATATCAGTCAATTACCTGACGAATTAGGGAAGCGTACGTAAATGGTGGCCGGACATCCGCATTTTTATAGAATTCCCTGTTCCTTTGTATCTCTGTAATATGAAACACGTATATTGTATTAGATTGTTTTGTTTCTAATTTTGTTTGAATATAATTGTAACACCATCGAAGCTACGTGAAGTTAGGATTAAGTTTGGTACCTTGTTGGACATCCAGTCCAGCCCGTTCGAGCATGTAAGGTAATCCTTGTGAAGCAATTAAAAAAGAAAGTAGTTAGTTGGTTATTGTATGACTACCATATGTAGTTATGTTTATCGTTGTATTTAGAATGTCCACTTACCACCAGCTAATGAAAGCGCAGATTTATCGCTTATTCGCCTCCTGATGGGACCGGCGACGTTGGAGGCGTGAGAATGCAATACCGGTGACCGGACAGCGGAGACGAGGTTGCTCAGGGAGACAGGGGGTTGGGGTACGGAGGTGACGGGTAACTTCTGGACTATAGAGCCAGAGGATTCGGACATCGGTTCCGGAGATCCCAGCTGCTTGGACAAGTGTAGATGATGCATCATTGCTTGAAGCCTATCCCTTTCCTTCTGCAGCTGCAGTTCCAACTGAGAGACGACCTGCATCTGGACTCGTGCTTGGGCCGTCGATCGATCGTCTAATGTGTGCTCGGTGTTAAGATGTCTGCAAGAAGCACGAAATACGAAGCGCATAAGACTCGACAGGAACTTTTTAATGGCAAAAACAATTGGCAATTCGGGGTACCGCGACGGCCGTAAAATCATTTGTAACCAACTTTAATTTCGGTTTATATTTAGTCCTTTTACGACGCGATTAATATGTAAAAGAAAAAGGGGGATAAAGGCAAACTGTCAAATTACAATATTTTGTCGTCGCCGGAACAAAGACTGAGGGGAAGAGGCGACCTGGAATAAATTAGGAGCGGTTTTAAAAACTCTAATTACGCCATGTTTAATTAATATGCAAGGCGTTTGATCGCCGCCCTGCAGGATTTAGATGTTAATCCCCAGACAGGACTTTATTAGTTTTCGCGCGCTAGGAGATCTTCTCCGATTGCTTTCCGATGAGGTGCACTTACTTTATGAAGGACTGTAAGTCGTCGCAGATGTTCTCGCAGCCGGGCCACTTGCAGACACCATGTCCGTAGAGATGGTGTACCCTGTCTGGAGTTCCGCTTGATGTCCTGTCAACCTTATCCTCGGCACTGGCTTCCTCCCGACTGGATCTGCCCGGCGCGACGACGCCCAATAATCCTGCGAACAATCCAAGACCTAAGCTCGAAAGTGACCGGTGTTAAGTGGTGAGGATTTACCGTTGATATCGGGGGTGGATTTGTTGTTAAGGTGTTGTTGCTGGTCGCGATCCGCAGCGGCTTCCTTCCAGGGGCTAACATCCCGCGATCCCAATCCTGCACAATAAATCAGTCAATCAGTTAAAGAATTGCTTTCTCGATCTGCTTTTATCGGAAGAAGGCGACAGTTTCACGTGCGTTTAAAACCGAAGGCGGTGTGAGTTGGCAGTCGTCGGGCGGGTGGTTCCAGCTTACGGGGTCGAGTATAAGGGGTGGTTGGGTGGTTGATGGGCGAAGGGGGGGATCGGATATATATCGGATGAGGGATGGGCAAGTGCCAATAGTTTTAACCGCACGTGAAAGTCCCGACGACGCATGCAGGGGAAAGTTCGCCTCTGGAAAATTCATTTCATCGCTCGGCGTTGACAAAAAGAAACCTTCATCAATACCAGTAATTAATTATTGCAAAGTGGCATTGCCCAATTCAGAAAGGGGTGCGATCACTAAACGAGGGTAAATGGACAGGCGGGATCAGGAAATACATACCCACGTAGCTAGGACTCCCCCCGCGACTGGCGCTTCACACTCTCACTCTTCGGCCGCCCGAACGCATTTTCGTTTATTCATTCAATTAAAACCCAAACATGACTCCCTCTTCCGTTATTCACAGGCCTTACTAATTATTAACTAGCTGTACTTTTCTCGAGATGTGCATGCATGACCTCCTCAAAACCGGCCTCAACTAATCAAATTTAAAAGAGCCACAACTATTGATTGCTTTTATTATTTAATTGACTGACTGAATCATAACTAAATGATGATAAATTAAGTCTTCTTGCTCGATCGATCCAGTTTGGCCGTTTCGTTTTAAAGATACGCTTCATACCTGCGGGTTGTGGAAGCATCAGCGGCTGCAGACCCATCCCTTGCTGAACGACGTACTGCCTCTGCAGTAACTGCAGTTGCTGGATGAGCTGTTGCTGCTGGATGGCCAACTGCTGCAGAGATCCTGACTTCTTTTTGTCGGAGCTCTGCAACATGTGGGTCTGCTGAAACAGGTTCAATTGCAATTGCTCCTGCAATTGCTGGATGGTCTGTTCCATCTGTTTCTTCCCCAATTCTGCTGCCAACTGATGTTGCTATAATAATAAAATTACTTAATTATCGAACTAACTAAGAAACAAACTCATCTTACCTGATGCTGCTGTTGTTGCATCAGAGAGTGTTGCTTCATCAGATTTTGCAATTGCGATGGACTAAGTACGTGCTGTTGCAGTAATTGTTGCATATGGTGTAGTCCTGAGACTGGTGACATCATTGGAGGTGGACCTGCCACCTGAGACTGAAATGATTTCGCATGGTATTATTGGCATTCGATGGCTTTAATCTGTGATTATACCTGTGATGAGGGTATTACTGAATTGAGGGGTTTTTGTGAATCGGAAGTATGTGGAGGCGGAGAGTGATCATGGAGTCGCGACTCCGATCCTGGACTTGTGCTGCCGTTGCCCTTGGGGTCGCGGTCCTGGTCCCATGCTCGCTCCAGCTCAATCTGCTGCTGTTGCTGTTGCTCCTTGAGGACCTTCTCTAGGGAGGCGGCCTGCTATAAACAGGGAGTCGTAAAAAGGGACGTTCGACAAGATGATAAAATCGATGACGCCGCGACATAAATCTCTTTCAAAAACACCTAAACTGCGCTATTCGCATTCATACAACCCCCGAACGGAATGTACATGTTTTGCTTGTAATGCCTTACAACCCACCCACTCCAATAAGTGATTGATTTCGGGTGCGCTCTCCGCTTGCGGAACGGCTGCATTAGGACCTCGGAAGCCATCTGTCTTAAACCAATGGTCCGGTCATAATACCTGTACACCCTCGGCTATATCATTTATACGCATACACTCACCGAAAGAGAGACAGAGAGATTAAGGGAAATATCCTCCACCCTTCGGGAGGATGAGAGATGTACCGACCCCATTTACAAATCCTGATGTATAGGTGGCTAAGAACCACGTAGGAGGACAAGGGCGCAGGAGGAGGACACGTCCTGCTGTGATTTACATTCGGATTGCACTTCGCTCCACGCGAATACCGAATATACCGTCGTTATACCGTGTTATGAACAGACGGAAAGTGTATGTTTTATGTGCCGGAGCTGAGTTTGATCAGATCAAATAAATTAGCCTAATGGATCAGTAAGCAAGAGAGACGGATGAAGGAACCCGAAAAAGGGAGGCGGCAGCATAATTGAAAGGACTTGGGCCCAAAATGTATTGTTGTAATTGAGAGGACGTCAATTTGCGAATAATCTGGATCTTCTTTTATTAAGACTTCCGATGACGACAGTACACCCACCGAAATAATGAAGAAGAAAAAAAAGAAAAGACGAGGGGATGAAAAAAAAGGAAATAAGTGTGTATATAAAGTATCTCAACCCTCGGAGAGATCTCAAGCTTCTATGCAAATCAGTGCAAAGTCGTCTACCCGCCGGTATTAACTGGCTGCAATATTGCGTGTATACATAGCACAATAACACACAATATATTCTATATTCCATATTCCTCGTCGGGGGTGGTAGGAGCAGTTCGGTATTGTCTACGCAAATGTAGCCCGAGTGGCGTAATATAATAAGCCACTCTCCCTAGCCTTAGATTACATCTGGAGCGCACGAGAAACGCAGAGAGGGTCTCCGCTGTTTTCCCCTGTATTAATGATTCAATATCAATTAGCGGTACGTTGAATTATATAAACTCAATCTGGAATCGCCCCCGCGACTCTCCGAGGCGACGGAGGCCGGGGGCGTCTGAACGAGAGTTCTGAGAAAGAACAAAAAGGAAAGAATTACCGAGGAGGAGAGGAGGCACACGCACAAAGCAAAGAGAAAGCTGCCGTCGGTTATGAAAATTGCTGACGTTGAGCCGAGAAAATTGTAACGGGCCTGCATATTTGATGGCACCTGATTTACAGCCTCGGGGGGATGCAGAAGAAGTTCTGGAGTGGGTGGAGGCGCCGGGTAAATGTTGGTAAACAGGCTGCCGGGCTGCGGCCGGACAACCTTTAATGCGCTTAACGTCAAGGCACGTCATCCAGGTGACAACCGCACACAACCCCTGCTTCATACATAAGCCAAAGATACATCGTATACATTTAACAACCCTTGCAAATTAATTACCCAATTTAATATTTATTGAAAATTCCGACTAGTTGGAAATAACCAATAATAGGTGAAAGCAACCGGAGATGATAGAATTTTCTAAGAATATTGTATTTAAATTTCTCGTACATTCGTTATTTTTTCATCTCTTTCTCTCTCACTCCACTATGTTTGTTCACGTCTTTGTGTTTATTTCCGGTGCTGCATCAAAGATTATTATATAAACACGTTTCAACACATTTCGCTGAAACAATATTTTAAATGTATTTTGTTGATTTTATGTTCGTTTTCTGTGTTTGTTCTCGTTTTATCCTCTCGCTCCTTTTTTTCCCTTTCTCTCTCGCCCGTTTTATTTCTTTCTTTATTTCCGTCTCCTTTGCCCGCTCTCTCTTGCCCATTGCCCAACACGCGCGATTCTTCTTAACATTTCATTATTCTGTTTTTAATTTGTTTGCTCACCATCAATTCGTGTTTATTTACACAATGGCATCATAGTTTATTTTGCGAACATAAATTATTTCCACCACTCCTCTGCGTTTTCCTGTCCTCCTCGTACATACACACATCGTGTTTCTTCTCTTTTACACTGTACGTTGTGTTTGGACGCTCGAAATGTGATTAGCCCTAAGCAATTACCACGACCATATAAAGACGTTTCTTACGTAAATCATACTTTGTATTTCTAGCAGTTATTTTGTAGTACTTTAAGTGCAAACGAAATGGTAACAATGTGATGTAACAAAAATTTATATGGAAATTAGATGAATTTAATAAAATTTTAAAAAAATAAACGGAGATGCAAATTGCGTTTTGGATACAAATTTGCAAATTGTGAGGGTGGTACTTGCATATTTATTTCGTCCTTCGTCGTCCAGGGTCCGTTGGAAAATATATGTTTATTCAAAAGTGAAGGGCCACTTTGTTCGTAAATTTAAATGAAACGTTATTCGAAAATATTTGCGCCCTTTTAGGGCGAATGGCATTTGCATCGCAGGATGGGGGAGAGCGACAAGATGAGAGGGAAAAAAAAAAGGAGAACACGGTTCATTCCTTATGCAAAACACATTTTTTCGCCGCATTAATACAATCGCAGCGGCGGCGGCGGTGGCAATTTATAATTTCCGATCTCTTATTTTGCCTGATTCGATATGGATGTTGGCAATCAGAGAGCGTGAGAGTGGTGAATACTAAAATGGAATCAGATCGAATCCTACACCTGCCCGTCGCGTTGTTTCCTCGTTAATTCTGATAAAACATCCAAGAGAGACCATTGGTATTCACCGCGAAACGTCGCGAAAGTGGAAGGAGAAAAAATGTGGGAGAATATACTGTGGCATGAGGAAAGAAGAAGAATGGGAAGAGGAGGAGTCCTCCTTACAACCCCCTGATCACATATTTCATATGCAAGGGGTTGTTTTGCTTGCCGGGGCAATATTATTTCCATATTTTTCACATAATGCGCGGCTGTATATGGGTTTTATTTCATGTGACATCATGGTAATGCATTTTAACGTCTTATCATTCATTGCGGCCAACTCTTTTTGGTGGCGGAGAGGAGCGCACGGCAAATATTTGTCGGGGTGCGAAAACGGCATAACAAGCGACCCCACGGAATAATATAAGAGGAGAAGGCATAAAGCATCCGGGCGAGGGTGGAAGAACAATGAAATTAGACGCGAGGCGAAGTAAAAATCACAGAGAGGGATGCAAAAAACAAAAAAATCTTCATCCGAATAATTCCGGCGATGGGGAATAAAAAGAATATACAGTTGAGTAAATATCTGTATCCGTGATGAGGCGAAGAGAATATTTACACGGCCCAACCCGGCCATCATCCAAAACCATCCATCCAAGCATGCACCTCGCTGATTTAAATAAGGAAGGGAATTCTTCTGTTAGGAGGGTTGTTAGGATGCTTGGGGGTGGCAGTTGGTATTGAAGCTGTACCTGGGACAGGATGGAGCAAAGGCCAGGGTCCAGGACCTCGGGCTTCCGGGCCGGACGGCATATCATAAGCTCGATAAAACATTGCACCCGCCTGACAAATGTACAGTTTTAAAGGAGGATATAACTCACGGCAGTCCATTCTCAATAAAGGCCCCATGACTGGTGAATTTCACACTTTACGAGGCTGGTACTTAAAACGGTGCGGCCTAATTTATGAGCGTCCGGCAAGGCGAAATCTGTCGATGCACCATATGCCATAGCTGACCATACCATACCAAGCTTTGCCACCTCCGTCGCCTCTGCCACCGACAGCCGTCATTTGTTACTTCCTCAGCACTAAACAAAACTGCCCGTTGCTCCCTGCGACCCTAAATATTAATAACTGCGATTACCGCGATTTCCTTTAAAGCGTATTTTATTAATTAAACAAACCCCCTTTAACTGCCGCCCCTTATAAATCACACACGCGCACTTAGATACGTTTATATTTCGTCTACATAATCTGCGCCGCCCCCGGGGTTAATAAGTTTTTCCACCCACGTCCCATATATTATTCACTCCGTGAAACACACATACACGCAGATCTATCTCTCTCGCCCTTCTTCCATTTCATCCCTCGCATTTCTTAATGCCTCTTTCTATATTTCAATTATTTCTTCATTCTTAAACTCATACATTTTCATTTCAAATTTCTCTCCCAACTTCACTTTTTTTTACAATTTCATTCAATTTATAAATCAAAATAATAAGAATTTAAAACAAAAATCTGATCGATCATTTGGTGATAGAAATATATATTTTCATAATTTACATCAAATTTTAACATAAGTATATTCAAATTTAATTCATTCCCAAATTTTCATCTTATAAAATTTTATTATTTTTTTCTTGATGTTTTAATAAACAATATAAATATACAGTGGATACAATTTTAAGAATGAGGCCTGCTACATCATTTTTAAAACTTGTGTATTTTTGAATATATATATGAGTTTTTTATAATACGAGTAAAAATCTGGAAATTTTGGAACTGATTAAACTAGTTAAGCGAGATTCTACTGTATTTCCAAATATTTGAAGATTAAATATAATATATTAAAATTTCTAGAAAATAAACCAAATTTTATGTTATACGTTATATAATTATTAAGAAGAAACTTCAAAATAATTACTATAGAATGTAAATTTACCAATAGGTAAACCGAACGTATTAGTTTCAAGATTTATTTATTATATCTACAAATTACTAACAAACGTTTACATTATTAATATTTTCCAAATTGAAAATATAAACGCTTGTAACTAAATAGTAATTATACTGTATCTTTCAGTTTTTCATCATTATATAAGTTATTTCCGTGGATACAGAAAAAAATAGAAAAGTTCGGAATCTGTAGAAAAACTACATTTCGCTGAATTGATTCAATAAATAAAATAGATTACCTCATAAAGTTCCGATTTATATCTAAGCTGATTTATTTCACGAGTCTTTTTACTAT